TGGATGAGGAGGCTCCCCTTGCACCTAGTGTCCCCCAAGGAAGGGAACAGAGCCTGGGAAACAACAAGTAGCACAAGTGCGGAGATGGGGCAACTCCGTGCCAGGCAGAAGTCCAGAATCAGGATCGGGTATAGCAGAGTTGAGGTCTCACCAGGCGGACAGCAGGGTACCAGAGCAGTAGGCAGAATCGAGTTCAAACAGGCCAGGAGTCACACCAGTTGGGCAGCGAAGTACAAGGGATAAGGCAGAGGCAAAGTCCAGTAACAATTCCAAGTTCAGAAGGCAGGCAGCAATCAAGAACACTCAGGTACAATCCGGGTCAAGATACAGGAGCAGAAATCAGGCAGAACAAACAGGATCACAGGGACAAGCTGAAAGACCATCCAGCAACTAAGGCCAGGCTGTGCTTGCTTTAAATAGGGTGCTCAATTCAGAGGTACTGTATCACTTCCTGTGTGCCAGATTAGCGCGTCTGTGCCCGTTTTCTTATGATACCAAAAAACAGGACCACGCACATGTGCAGCAGACCAGGTTACCTTACAAAATGACAGTAATGGGCGGAGACAAGACCAGTCACCCTGCACAAGGGGAGAGAGCAGCAGTGACTGGTTTGTATTACAGGGAGTTCCTGCCCAGAGGAAAAGTTTCACACTGGGTTACTGCACAGATCTGGAAGAAATACACAAAACACTCCAAGATACAAGTAATAATATACATGCCTCTTGTAATTATACAAAATATGCTTGCACCCGAATTCAGCTTTGAGGAACTTTAATTTATGAAGCGGTGGAGAAAAATTATCAATTGTATATAAACCAAAAGTTAGCTTTATATTTAGATAATATTTATATATTAAAGTAAATATGTGGCCACATTATAGAGATCTAAATATGTACATAATATATACATATTTGTAAGTAGTAAATAAGCTTTGAAACAAGCTTATCACTAACTCCTGTGGCTGCAAGAACTGTGGAGCAATTTGTCCTCAAATTTACATCAGAGGCACTAAAATGGCAGCTCATCCCCCTTGCTTCCTCTGGCATCAGGGACTTTGCAGTCTGTCAACCTTCTACTGTAAATAAACAGCAGTGTTATTAAGCTGTTCAGAAAATTACAGCAACCAGACATCAGAACCTCTATTGTGGTGGCTGAGGATGTATTGCTCCACAGTGCCTGCAGCTATAGAGGTCAGCAAGGGCTTGTTTTAACATGCATTTACCGCTTATTAAAAATATAATAATACTTAAAGTGTATGTTCATTTTCGCAGCCAAATTGGGATAACACCTATTTTATATTTTTTACAGGTTCTTATTCACATAGCATAAGCTATAAAAAAAATAAAATGCTTCTTGCAGTATAAATAGCTTTTACTTGGATTTGGGTTTTAAGGGTTACATTTCTTATTGCTTCTATTTCTTTTAAGTGTTAGGAGGGACTGTATGGGGTGAGGGGTCTCTTCCATTCAGTGGTGGCTTGACCATTGTATGTTAATGAAGCTTATCAGATAAACACAATCCTCAAATTTCAGTCACAAGCCTTTCCATTGGGACAGACCACTGTGTGGCTAAGAAAAATCTGGAATACGCCATTTTGCCTGATTTAACAAAACAAATAAATGGTAAAAAAAAATGTCAAAAGTTATTTTTTAGTATGCTGTGTGAATAGGAACACATAACAAATATATAGAGGGGTTTGCAAAAGTGGAAACACACTTTAAAGTGACAGTAAACTCAGGAGTTAAAGCTTAAAAATGCATTCAAGTACCTCAACTATTAAAAATGTATCTTATTTGTGTATCACTCGGCTGTAGATCCTCAAATCATCTCTGAATTGGTGCTGACACTGTCCTTCCTTCTGGAGGGGGGCTACTTTTGTCCCTATGTTCCCTGTATGTGTTGTAAAGTAGTCACTGCTCCAAGCTCACTCCTGTGATAGACTACAATCTAAATACAAATTAGTAAACTAAACATGAGATTGTAGTGTATCACGGGAGTGAGCTTGGAGGGGTGTATACTTTACAACACACACAGGGACCATGGGGAACAAAAGTAGCCATCCTCAAATGGACAGTGTCAGCACAAATTTAAGATGACTTGAGGATCTACAACTGAGTGTTGTACGAATAAGGTACATTTTTCGTAATGGTTAAGGTACTTGTATGAATTTGTAAGGTTTAGCTACTGAGTTTACTTTAAATGTCATAGCCTGGACAATATGGACATAGGAGATAAGAATACATCCTATTTACAGTCCCAAACAGCCAGGGTAGCTCTAGGTTCAATTTCACATGTTTATCAGTTTACTCTTGACTGCTGTACTGAAAAGCCCGTTGTTCACAGAGATGAGTAGCTTGAGCTTACACGGCTGAATGAGCCAGAGGAGCAACTCTTACCCCTTTTATGGCTCAGCACAGACTTTCAGTTAGAGATAGACAGTCTGAAAACAAACAGCTTTACTGTGCTCTCTGTTTAGAAAACCCTAGTGGTTTGGGAATCCGGTATCAGCTATGCTCCTTATATTAAATATACTTTCATAGAGCTTTAATGTAAAAATGAAAAACATTGTCTTGATCCAAAGCTTTCAAAGCTTTTTGACCCACTGATGTGGAATAGATACAGATCAGAAGTTCTGCCTTTCCTCTGAACCCGCTAGCTGCTGGCTTAAGTGATTCAGTGGGGGTGATTTACTAACCTAAACACACACACACACACCAGGTGTGTGTGATTTTCACACAGCAAAACGTATTTATCAACCAAAAAGTCTCTAAAAGCATATTTCCACTAATGCCATATATGGAAAAATCATGCACATGATGCATATATAATGCTGCTTCACAGTTTAGACAAAAATGGTTAGCTCATGCATTTACATTCCTGCATTCATCAACGCAAGCAACATAACATAGAGCTAATTTACACCACATTACCTTGCAATTCATTGCAGGGCTTTGCACAACACACCTGCTGGGTGTGTACACACTACAAAGGTGTTTCGATTCCTCCCATAGATCATGCTGGGAGGGAACACACTACAGAGGTGTATACACGTTCGTGGTGTGTTTAAAAGGTTAGTAAATCAACCCCAGTGACTCAGAAAGTACTGAGGCCAGAGACGGCCATAATCCTGATTGTAATAAGGGAAGGATGCATGTAAATTCACTTTACACTTCCTTTAAAACAGGCTGCTCGTAAGGTATATTTTATTACATGCCTTAACAGCTTTACAGTTTAGGTTCCAAGTGCCTAAAATGATGGCTTTAAATATCATCGGCCCGAGAGGAAGAGGCTCTAGTCTCTAAAAAGATGAAACAGAAAATGTATTTATAATCTGATACGACCTTTAGCTAAGGACCAGCTGAGCCTAAAGATGGTAAAGGCAGATCTACTGCTGTTCTTTATTGTACTCATAACTTTTTTCCCTGCCTATTAAAACTACTCACACTGGCACTTGCCTCTTCCTCAGCCATAAATGTGTTTCTTAAACTTCATGTTCGTTCTTTTAATTGTTTTCTTTTGCACTTGCAAACAATGCCATATGTAATGTTTTCAATAGCGGGCAAGCTGACGCCCAACAGCTGCCAGTTTATACTAGTATGTAGTTCTCGATTTGCTAATATAGATTTAAATTATATTATTATGAAGGCTGTGAGATAATCACAGGTAAGTGTAACTATACAGTATATCATATAGTCTGTCAATAGCATTAGCAATGCAAGGAAAGTGTATGACTGAGGCACCACACCATTGTTTATAAGTCCAGCAAATTGAAGTGATTTCAGACACATATTGTATAAAAGGCCAATGCATTTCTGGTGTTGCCTGCTTTGTCAGTGTTGCCTGCTTTGTCAGGTCCTGTGAATGTGGATAGACCACGCAGCAATGGTAGCAATAGTATTGTCAAATAGTAGGTTCCAATGGTCAATAACAGTAACATATTTTACTTGGTTATCAAATATTCCGGCCTGTTATAGGGCAGAAGTTACCAGTCTGTATAATACATATATTCCCTACTCTCCTGCCCTACTATCCTCCCTTCGGTCTGTTATGAATGCTGCTGCTAGACACATCCATCTCATCACCAGCTCCTGCCACCATCTTTTGCCAATCCCTCCACTGGCTAACACAATGTATTACATTCATAATACTTGCAATAATATACAAAGCCATCCACAACTCTACTCCCAACTATATCACCAACCTCATCTCAAAATATCACCCAAAATGTCCACTCTGATCCTCCCAGGACCTCCTGCTTTTTAGTTTCCTCGTCACCTCCCTCCATGCTTGCCTCCAGAACTTCTCTAGAGCCTTTTCCTTCCTCTAGAACTCCCTACCCCATCTGTCCTGCTATCTTCTACTCTGTTCTCCTTTATGCAATCCCTGGAAACCCTTCAGGGAAGCCTATTCCGCCTCCACTTTAAGTCTGTACTTTCACTTTGCCCATCAGCTCATCCCTCACAGTTATTACCTCTTGTATCACTTGTCCCTCTGTTTTAGATTGTATGCTCCTCAGCCTCCTCCTAGCACAGGAGTTTCAGTTTTCCTGCAGCAGCTGCAGCCGGGGAGGAGCAGAGAGCAGGCGAGTGTTTTATTTCTACATTTAGCCCTGCTTTGGGCAAGCAGGGCTAAATGTATAGCAGTATACATACAATATAGCTGTAAAAACAAAACAATAATAAAATGAAAATGATAAAAAAGCAAAAGATAATAAGATAAATAAAAATGGAAAAAAGTTAAAAAAAAGTAAAAAATAATTATAACAATAATAATAATGAATGATCATTTTACAGTTGGGGGTTAAGAACCACTGCT